AAATTCTAGTGAAATATATTTATGTTTGTGGTTGTAATGTGACAAAATATGGAAAAGTTCAAGGGGTATGAATACTTTTGCAAACCACTGTAAATGGATGAGTTAACTAAATGATGAATGTGTTTTAGGCAGTGCTGGAGACAATCAGGCATCTGATGAACACAGAATGTGTTGTCCCAGACTGGCTTCATGACATCATTCTGGGCTATGGTGACCCAGGTAGTGCCCACTATTCCAAGATGCCCAATCAAATCTCCACGTTGGACTTCAATGACACCTTCCTGTCTCTGGATCACTTGCGGTCRTGTTTCCCGGACTACAACGTAAAGGTTTTAGAGGAGAACCCTGAACTACAAGTCCCTCCTTTCAGGTAAAATTCAAAGACCCAATTTTTTTCTTTTTAATTAATTAATATTTACATTAATAAAACAGTGTATGTGAAGACATCTATTATTTAAAATAAACTAAAGCAGATTAAAGTATATTGTAATAAACTTGTTTTTATTTTATTTTATTTTATTTTTTACCAGAATCAAGTTTCCGATCTCAAACAAAACAGACAAAGGAAAGAAGAGGAAGGCTGATGACGAAATGGAGGACAAAGAGGAAGACAAAACCTTGTTTGCTGAACCATATGTCGCACCTAACCGTGGACCGTATCCCTACAACCAACCCAAACGGTGAGAGGACAAGTCTTAAAAGTTACAGTATCGCATTTATCCTTTTAGTGTATTCGTATTATTAGTGTATCATCGTTTTTTTTTCACATCACATAATCCATAAACTTACTTATAGTTTCAGAACAGCTGTGTATCATAATGTAGCATACATTAGGGTCTTAACTTTTATTCTAAAAAGTTTCCATTATCAAACAGCATTCATTCACAAGCTTATAAACTCAATGCTCAAAGTCTGACTCTTGATTTATGCATTTGTTTTCCTTTATTTAGTGTTGTTGGGATATTTTGGTGATTATTTGCCCAATAAAAAGCTAAACATATGCCTACAATAGTTCTCAGCTATCAGTAATTATACCATAACAAAGCAGCTTCGCTGAGTGCTTGATTAAGATTTGTTCCAATGCTAATACTTTTTCTACATTGAGTTTTGAGTTCAAAAATCAGTCTTTGCAGAGACTATACTTAAACATTTTCAGATATTTTCCAAAAGATAACACTAAAACATGTACAGCAACAATATTTGTTTCTTAAAACATGACAATATTTGAGTAAAAATGTATCAGTGCTGTCTATTCAGTGTCCCAAAAAAGTAATGTGATTTAACAACCTGAACATTAAATTGCTTCCAGGAATACGATCCAGTTCACGCCTACTCAGATTGAAGCCATACGAGCAGGAATGCAACCAGGACTAACCATGGTAAGTTTGTGTAAGATGTTCATATAAGATTTAAGGTTTTAAAAAACCTTACTGACCAGATATAAACATAATTCTGTGTTTGAAAAAAAAATAGGATTTACAAATATTTCAGTAGCCTTATCATCAACAAAAATTTAAAAATTCACTTATTAATGGCAAAGAAGAAACAGATTGACCTGCTAATGTGCACATACATGTGTGTAAGCCTGATATTTGGATATCAGTAGTAGTATAGCATATGTGTTTGATGGACGTGATGTTCGCATGCAGCAACTAAAAGCTAGCAGAAGGATAAGTTATTTTATATCTACTGTAGCTGGTTAAATACAGCAAAGAAGCTATCAGCAGGGTTATAAACCAACTCTGCATGCATGCTTTCATCTAGCCCTTTTTCACCCGTTCTAACCTTCCTCCTTGGCATATGTCTCATTCATTAGCAGCTCTAACATGCACTCCTGGTTTACCCAGCTCTCATGTTGGGAAACCATGAAGCTGATTATACATTGATTTATGCAGGAATATATAATTATGGCTACTATTTTTAGCTGAGCTTACTCACCTGAGAGACTCATATTAAGACTAACCTGTTTCATGAATATGTATTTAGTAAATTAAATATGACGGCTCAGTGGTTAGCACTGTAGCCTCACAGCAAGAAGGTCCTGGATTCAATWCCTGTTTTGGACCTGGAGTCTTTTTGTGTGGAGTTTGCATGTTCTCCTCAGGCTGGTGGCGGTTTCTCTGGTTTTCTCCCACTGTCCAAAGACATGCATGCTAGGCTGCCTTCAGGGTTAGACCTCCCTTGCAAAGAGATCTGTGATCTCAGTAGAATTTGCCTGATTAAAAAAAGAAAAGTCTAACACTTTTCCCTCAATGCTTCCCCTCTAGGCTTACACATAGTAAGGAAGTGGAAGTAATATTTGTGTAATAATTAAAAAAGGAAGCCTTTATTTCTCACTGGTTCTTTGTTTTAAATATATCCCATATACAAAAATAAACAAATTGCCAGTCACTGGGTTCGTCTAAGCATGGATGACAAAGAAGTCTAATTCTTGCCTGTTACATTTTCAAGGTCAGGTTTTCCCAGCCATTTCATTATCAGCAGTCTTCAGACTAATTTCTGACCACTTGATGTGTTATTTTGTGCATTTTAATTTTCCACCTTTCTATCTTCTTGACCTTTTTCTGCTCTTTGTGTCCCCAGGTTGTTGGACCCCCTGGCACTGGAAAGACAGATGTCGCTGTTCAGATCATCTCCAACCTCTATCACAATTTTCCCGAGCAAAGAACTCTCATAGTCACACACTCAAATCAGGTTAACACACACTGCACCTCTGCACAAAMACAAGCCAAAGGTTTGCTAACACTGTTGAAATAGCAAGTGAAGTTGTCTGAAGAGTTTGTTGCTTGRGCTTAGAAGTGCCCATTAATCAAGCTACAGTCACATTTATACCATGAAGGAAGAATTTAAGCTCCTTTGTGCCACAGTCCTCCCTCTTACTATTAAATCATAAAGTAATCTGCTCTTGTTTTACACCAGTGGATGTTTGCCAGAGGGAACCTTATCCACAAGAAGCATAAAGCAATAATTCCCCCAACTCCCACATCTACTATTTATATTCCCATTAGAAGCTGGYGTTTTATAACTCTAATTACATATTTAACTTGTTAAAATATAGATTGAACACACAGAAAAATGATTTTTCCTTGTCTGAATATGTTCATATTTTATTGGTTTATTGTACACCAGGCTCTGAACCAGCTGTTTGAAAAGATCATGGCTCTTGACATAGACGAGCGCCACCTTCTGCGTCTGGGCCACGGAGAGGAGGAGCTGGAGACTGAGAAAGACTTCAGCAGGTGAGGACAGCGGGCAGCTGGTGGAAAGAAGACACACACACACACGCGCGCGCACACACACAAATAAGTATGCCTGAACAAACAGAAAAGCACATGTGCAAACTCAGATGTTTTGTGTGTGATAGTGCATTCAGTTGATAAGCACACACTCCTAGAAACACCTGTTCTTGTACTCAATGAGTCTAAACCTGCATGATGACAGGGTTACTCAATACTCTCATAAGCCATACCATGGACCTTGTTAGTCTTTGTTAGGTGTTGCTAAAATCTCTGACCTTTCCATATGTGGTGGACATCTGGCCCCACAGCCTACCAGTCAGTTTGGTTCACTCTAGCATTACTACCCAGGACTGCAGGAACCAATCAGCTAGTATAATTTACTATATGAATTATTTTAAAGAAAATTAAATTAATAAAGGTATGTAGTACCTCATTAGTCACTAGCCAGTTTTTTTTTTTACAATTTTCTAAAATACTAGAAACGCTGTTTATTGCCAGACAAGACAAAATAATACAAAATATTTGCAGTCAGTATAGATGTAAGTGCATGAAAATCCCACATAAAAGCAAATGTTTTGTATAAAATATTTTTCATCATCTGATGAGAAAAGGTGGTCATGGTTATTGTTTATAAAGGTATTGTTACAAATATGGATGGCAAAATGAATAATTCTACAAAAAACTGCCAGTTTGTGTAGGAGAAAAYGATTAAGGTAATCTGTTGCGAGTCAAATGAGAAAATAGGACTTGTCCACTTCTTCTTTCATGGACACACAAAACCCATAAATACCCAGATAATTAAATAAATGAATTCATTATTGCATGATGATGATTACATGAATAAATGCACTGTCTTTTCAGAACCAATCTTTTTTTTTTTTAACTAAGGTGATGAAAGGTGTTTGACGACATTGGCAATAAAATCCACATATAGTTTTTGTACACGTCTTAATGGGTCATATGAAGACAGTGTTCCTTTTTTGTAGAACTTGTTGCAGAGCAAAGAAAAGACAAAAATCTCAAGAGTGCTGTTAAAGAATCTCCAGCCTTTTTTGTGTAAAAAGAAATGTGAAAACCGCAGTAAAGAACAGTGACTCAGTTTTTGCTTCATAGACACAGTTAAATGGGCAAAGATCTGTATTATAATAAGCACCCAAACACTCCATGACCATCTTGAAGAAGACTCAACAATCTCAGGATACCCAAAACATTTCCAGCTCAACATGATTACTGCTATATTTAACATCTCAGTGAATGAATCAGTGAGAACTTTTTTTTTCTTTTTCAAACAGTTTATAAGCTGGCTGCTGAATATAAATAACTCTGCCACTGAATATTAATATGTTGTTACTATTTAAAGCGTCCTACAGGCTTTATTGTAAATCACACATCCAGACACACTCAGGAGCTTGTAGTACTACATCTAAAGGAGAGACTGGGATTCTATATATTTCTCATTTGCTGTACGCTTTGTTTGACTTGTGCCTAATGTAAGTCTGACTGATGTATGAACATTGTAGTGTGCAAATGGGGTGTTCACATGAAAGCAGTCTCTTGCATTCTTAAATTATGCAGCAATGCAGACATGAAAGAAAGAGCTATAGTGTGCTGTATTCACCATGTTCCCCCACTGCTTTGTTGCCTCATGACAACATGCAGACTCCACACTTCTTCCACCCCACTGACACCAGCTAAAGCCAGAGGGTTTTAATTAACACTTTATATGAGGTAAAAAAAAAATGGATATCAGAGCTACACGTAGTGTGTAAGAAAGAGGAAAGCTACAACTTCATTAAAAAGCTGTTAGTTCACAGTAAATGTTTTTTTTTTTTTTTGATGAGATTTTAAAACGTAGATCTTGGTGATAGAATAGCATCTGTGTTTATTTTTAGGATTAAAAAGAAAACGTGTCGAGAATCATTCAGAATGTTGCATGGGTATAAGGTAAAAACAAAATATACCTCGTCAGTCAGGTTTGAAGCACAAATATGCTCTTTGTGTAGTGTCTAAATGCACATCTGTTTGAGAGCAAGGTTGATTTTTTTATGTTTTAAATTTTATTCTGGCCAAACAGTCAGAGCAGCATGATCCTGTTTGAGTCATCTGCTGACTGAGGATCTTTGAAAATGGTCTAAAAATAGTGCCCACCTCTAATATTACCCCATGACCCCGCCTACTTCCTGTGAGTGTCTTTGTTGTCTCGTTGCATCTCAGGATTGTTCAGCTGCACAAAAAGATGCATGACAAAACCAGGACAACCCAGTTTATTCATTACAGTTTCTCTGTAATTAAACATATAATCACAAAGTCAAGTTAAAAATTAAAAAAAAAGAATAAGCAAGGGGGCTCAGCCCAATCCTGACCTGTTTAAAATCACTAGTAGTATTAATTCCAAACTATTGAGCATTTATTTCTTTACACATCTGCCCTATTCTCTCTGTATCGAAACCTGGAATACTTTTGTTTTATTTTGTTTCTCTGTAACTTTGACTAACAATTGTGCTGTCCACAGATATGGGAGAGTCAATTATGTCCTTGCCAGAAGACTGGAGCTTCTCAAAGAGGTGGGAAGGTTACAAGAGAGCTTGGATGTTCCTGGAGATGTCTCATACACCTGTGAGACTGCTGGACACTTCTACCTGTATCAGGTAAAATCATAACTAGGCATTTATGTGTCATTTGTGTGAAAAGTGGACAAAAACTTAAAATTGTAACTGGAGATAATGCTTTGTTACTTCTTTATTTTTTGTTTAAGTGCATAGTACTTAATAAGCAACAAAAAGGAACTTGAGATAACATTTCTTTGCATACAGATTTACAAAAAGTTCAAATCTTTTATTTTTTCTTTCAGTCAAATATGGCTCTCTATTTTCTACTTAGTAACTCAATATTTCTTTATTTTGTGTTTGGATTTTTTAAATTGATTTACGGAGAAAAAATATTACAAGTACTTAGGAAGGATTTTACAGAAATTACAATAGATTTCTGAAGAGTTTCTGTTTCTTTGTGCTGAAAGTGTAGAACTAGTGGAGCATCCTTGCTGTTTACCCCTATTGCTTCATTATTGCTCTACCTCAGAGTCCAAGAAGAAAGCCACTGCAGACATTCAAATGTAGGAAAATAGAGCAGTATGTAGGAAATATAAGCTGTGGAAAACTGCATTTATTTATTTGGTAGACAATCAGATGGACAAGCCAGAACTTGCATTTTGATTTAATAGAAACAAGATGGTAATTAGTTACTGAGTCTAATAATTCCAACCAATTTTAGAAATTGTCAGTGGATGGGTGGGTTGATATTTGAGAGGTGACACAAAGATGGATCTTAGAAATTATGGACATAACTAAATTTCTGGAACTTCTTCAAATACTCCTGACATTGTTATGCTGTATATATATTTTTATGCTATAGGTGATGTCTCGCTGGGAAGAATACATGAGCAAAGTCAAACCTAAACAGGGCAAGACAGTGGAGGTGGAGGCTGTGGCTTCATGTTTTCCCTTCCACAAGTACTTTTCCAACGCACCCCAGCCTGTGTTCAAGGGCCGATCGTACGAAGAGGACATGGACATCGCAGAAGGCTGCTATCGCCACATCAAGAAAATCTTTACACAGCTGGAGGTAAGGCAGTTAGACATGCAGAGACCAAGGAAATATACACTCACCGGCCACTTTATTAGGTACACCACGCTAGTAACGGGTTGGACCCCCTTTTGCCTTCAGAACTGCCTCAATTCTTCGTGGCATAGATTCAACAAGGTGCTGGAAGCATTCCTCAGAGATTTTGGTCCATATTGACATGATGGCATCACACAGTTGCCGCACATGATGCGAATCTCCCGTTCCACCACATCCCAAAGATGCTCTATTGGATTGAGATCTGGTGACTGTGGAGGCCATYTGAGTACAGTGAACTCATTGTCATGTTCAAGAAACCAGTCTGAGATGATTCCAGCTTTATGACATGGCGCATTATCCTGCTGAAAGTAGCCATCAGATGTTGGGTACATTGTGGTCATAAAGGGATGGACATGGTCAGCAACAATACTCAGGTAGGCTGTGGCATTGCAACGATGCTCAATTGGTACCAAGGGGCCCAAAGAGTGCCAAGAAAAGATTCCCCACACCATGACACCACCACCACCAGCCTGAACCGTTGATACAAGGCAGGATGGATCCATGCTTTCATGTTGTTGACGCCAAATTCTGACCCTACCATCCGAATGTCGCAGCAGAAATCGAGACTCATCAGACCAGGCAACGTTTTTCCAATCTTCTCTTGTCCAATTTCGATGAGCTTGTGCAAATTGTAGCCTCAGTTTCCTGTTCTTAGCTGAAAGGAGTGGCACCCGGTGTGGTCTTCTGCTGCTGAAGCCCATCTGCCTCAAAGTTCGACGTACTGTGCGTTCAGAGATGCTCTTCTGCCTACCTTGGCTGTAACGGGTGGTTATTTGAGTCACTGTTGCCTTTCTATCAGCTCGAACCAGTCTGCCCATTCTCCTCTGACCTCTGGCATCAACAAGGCATTTCCGCCCACAGGACTGCCGCTCACTGGATGTTTTTTCTTTTTCGGACCATTCTCTGTAAACCCTAGAGATGGTTGTGCGTGAAAATCCCAGTAGATCAGCAGTTTCTGAAACACTCAGACCAGCCCTTCTGGCACCAACAACCATGCCACGTTCAAAGGCACTCAAATCGCCTTTCTTCCCCATACTGATGCTCGGTTTGAACTGCAGGAGATTGTCTTGACCATGTCTACATGCCTAAATGCACTGAGTTGCCGCCATGTGATTGGCTGATTAGAAATTAAGTGTTAACGAGCAGTTGGACAGGTGTACCTAATAAAGTGGCCGGTGAGTGTAGATGTAAATATGGAGCACACATTATGACACTTTGATATGGGACAGACTGTTTTGCCTCTTATTCTTTTTGCTGAGCTAGAGTTTTGCCAGCTGCGGTGGATTTTTCTCTCAAACTATGTGCCAGCTGTCGGTCCAGATGTTGTGCTTTCTCTAATGCACAATAGTGTTATTGATTAGTTATGCTTGTTTAGGCACTGAAGTTCTTTTTGCGCTGTTTAAAATCCCATCTCTTTAGCATTTGTTTAATAAAAATAAAATGTATTTAACAGCAGTTTTGTCGTCCACCTGTAATTGTAATTGCCCTCGCTAACCCGTTTACAACAATAAGCATGAAAACAAAAATACAGAGGCTTCTCCGTTTGGTTCATTTTTTTCAGTTCGCTCACTCATTTTCACACAGTTTCCCCCCTTGTACACATCTGAGTATGTGTTATCATTACTCCTCAGCTCATCGACTATGTAAGGATAACAAAAAAAAAAAAACACTTCTGATTTATGGGAACACTGAAATGGTCTCCAAAAAGCAATAAAGAAAGTTATTGGTTGGAGGTAATATCTCGACGTGTGGTGACCTTGATTTATCTGACTGGCCTCTGTATGACTGCATCACAGCCCCTCCTCCCTCCTCCCTCAGCCTCTCCCATGCTGCAGTGAAATCTGCTCACCCATTAAGAGATGCTGCTGTACGTGGTGCAAGGTGGCAAAAGCAGCATCCTGCTGCGCTTGCTGATCTGTCTACCTTTCAAACGGAAAAGCAGTTTTAATAAAGCTGTCATACGAATACACTGAGAAGAAATCACCGGCCAGACGGACAGAAGCAGAAAGCCCATGTTGGATTTGTGTGTGTGTGTCTCTACTGCAGGTCCAGCAAATGTTAACAGCATTTTTATTTGTCTTTTCCTTTTTCTTGACAGTTTCTGTGAATGTTTGCCATCTTCATTCACTCTGGGGTCAGGAGGGTTAAAATAGATCTTATTAATGTTTAATGTTTTGATCGGTTTAATATTAATGCTAAAATAGTAACACATTAAATATTTAAACCCCAGTGCTCTCCCAGTCTAGCTCTCTGCTTCCTCTCATTTTTCTTTCCCTGTACAGTTAGTGGGGCAAATTGCTAAAATATTTTCCTCATGTTTTGCTCCACAGTATGCTGAAAATTTTTTTTTATTTTGAGCAAAAACTTTTTCCTGGCACGGCCACTTCAGTAGAAGTTCTATAATAACATCTGTCCCAAAGTGCTCCTCATATTTCATTAATTCACCACCAAATTACTTTGAGTGTTTGGTCTCTTTATCACTGCACCACAACAAAGTATGAGACTCAATTATGGCAGATTAAAGCACGGATTATTTCTTAGAACTAAAGCCACGATACTCTGTTAAATCCTTAGACTTGCTTAAGACTTGCTCCAGAAACTATTCCATAATGGTGTGTTGGCACAGTCGTATCACGCAGCAGGAGGTCAGCACTTTGTTTTTAATAAAACATTTTTGCTTGCTCTTCAACTACTTGCTCAGTAGTAATTAAAGAGACTATGACAGTGGTGCTTGCATCATGTCAAAAGTTTTCAGGCACAGAGACATTTTTAAGGTTTAGAATAGAAGCACACACAAGTTATTAAACAGAAATATTTATTAGTTTCTGACTGAAAGTTTTTTGAGCTGTTGTCAGTCAGTCTCATCTGGTTGAAGTTTGATCATGGATGGATCATTTGTAAATCCCAACATTATTAATGTTCAGTTTGTTTGTTTTTTCATTTCTCCTTTGAGGCATTTTAGGAAGTAAACATTAGTGCCAGTTTGAGATATTAGAGTATTTAGATTAATGATGGGCCTCTAAGTGTCCCATAATGTAATTGCTATCTTTTCTGAATATTGAAGTGTGCTATTTGTATTACCCTAATAATGTTATCCATCATTGTTTCATGGCAGTCATTTGTCATGTTTCCATTAAAATGTCCCTCAGAACAACAATGTGCAAAAATACAAATAAACTGAATTCACAACAGCCTTAACTTTGGATGATTTTTGCTGATATAATCCCAGTCCTGCATTTCACTCCAACTCTTCTTTTCTCATCTTCTCTAACAGGAGTTTCGGGCATTCGAGCTGCTGAGAAGTGGACTGGACCGCTCCAAGTATCTGCTTGTAAAGGAAGCCAAAATCATTGCCATGACCTGCACACATGCTGCACTCAAACGGCATGACCTTGTGGAGCTAGGCTTTAAGGTAGACTTCTCTCATTTTATTCTAAGTCCTGAGAATTTTGTTACAAGTGTATTCACTGTAGTTCAGATCTTTAAATCAAGATCTTTCTCATTTAGTATGACAACATCCTGATGGAAGAAGCAGCACAGATTCTTGAGATTGAGACCTTCATCCCGTTGTTGTTACAGGTAATGCTTTCCTGAAAAAGGTTTTACCAAATCTGGTTAAATAGTTCACTGTCTAAACAATATTAAAGTATGAATCAACATCTGACGTATACCAAATGTTGATTCATACTTCTAATTCTACATACATTGGGTTATTCATAATAAATGTGCAAACAACAAATTTATCCATGTTTTTGTTGGATTATATTTCAGAGAATTGATGTTTTGAAGTTCTTACCTCCTGTTGTATTTTCTCTCACCTTTAGAACCCAGAGGATGGCTACAGCCGGCTAAAGCGTTGGATCATGATTGGAGACCACCACCAGCTGCCTCCAGTCATCAAGAACATGGCGTTTCAGAAGTACTCCAACATGGAGCAGTCTCTCTTCACCAGATTTGTGCGCCTTGGTGTTCCAACTATAGACTTGGATGCACAGGGGCGTGCACGTGCAAGGTGTGGCTCACCAGAAGAACGTCATGCTAGAGTCAGTTTTGACAACACACTGAGACAATATACAGTAAAGTGTGTTTGGTTCTCTTTTCCCCAGCCTTTGTAATCTTTACAACTGGCGCTACAAACATCTTGGTAACCTGCCACATGTCCAGCAGCTCCCTGAGTTCCAGGTCCCCAACCCAGGCCTGACGTTTGACTTCCAGCTGATTAATGTGGAGGACTTCAATGGGGTGGGAGAATCTGAACCCAATCCTTACTTTTACCAGGTAAGAGCTGTAACACTGGAATTACACTATATATACACACAGTCAGACCGATATTTGTACAAATGACGTATTTTTTAAACAGCTTCATTGCTTTAGGCTTGCTGTATCCACATATCAGCACTTATGTCTCAAACTGCTGCATATCAATAAATATTATAGCAAGCAACTGATTGGCAGCACCTGGGGGTATCAGAAGCTCAACAGCAAAATAAGCGGTTTGACAGAAGATTTTCTTGTGCTCAACCCACACACAGCTCTGCTCCTCATCCCACAAATGCATGTTCCTTACAAATTAGGCACCATTTAAAAGGGAAATTAACAGGCTTTCCAACAGTGTAAGACTTATTGCCAAGAAGTTTTGTTACAACAAAAGCATACATTTTATTATTTTTTGTGCTAAGTTTAGAAAAATATTCTAACAGGAAATAAAAAAAGATTAATTTTTACTAATTATAACCATTAATGTGTATATACATAATTTATTCACAGTAAGACTGGATCCAATGTGGATAATTAAAAGAACTGAAAACTTATTTTGAATGTGTTTTATGTTTACTTTATAAATTAATTAGCCAAACTAGCCTCTCAAATTCTCTCACAATCAACACATCTTTATGCCCAATTTTGCACAAATTATATTTGCTTTACCTCTTAAATGTTATGAAACAGCAGAAGCTCAGGCAAACATAAAGCCTAGAAAACACTGCTGCAGTAACATAGTAACAGTGGTGACATTTTCTGCATCCTCCTGCATTTGTTCTCATTCGCATGTGCAGCATCACATTTTTTTACATTGCATTTTTTCAGCTTCTATTTAATCACAGTGCTGTGAACAAGCGACTTTTATATTGCAAAAATACTCATCTTATACTGTGTAAAACTACTGATGCTACCTCAGACTTCAGTTGCCAAGCAATCAACATCAGTTATTTATTTTTCAAAATGCCTTTTTTTGGCAAGTGAAAACCATAACCTTTTTAAAGCTACATGTTTTGTAGTTCAAACAAATCTGTGATGCCTAATTTTTGATGAAACTGGTCCAATTATTTAAAAAAATAGACCTTTTATTGTTTTGTCCATTTGGCTCATTGCATCTCCATAAACAGCACTACATATCTGTGCCCCGGCAGCTCCTTATTATTGTTAAATCCAAACCATGTGCCATTCTCAAGGCAGCAGGTCACATGAATTTTATCTCCATTTGCCTGTTGCCATTTGCAGGCTTCCCCAGGGAAATGCCAAGATAACTCTCATGGCCTGACACACACATACAAACTTTACTTTACTGGGAAACTGAGAGAACATATTTGACACAGGAGAAGCAATTGTGTCCGGTCATCTCACAGCTGAATAAACACGATCACAACCCCTGCTGTGCTTGACACTGCAACTGTGAACAAATCACAAAAAAATACACGATGTGTCCACAGAGAGTCCAAAGGTCTGTTACTACTCCTACACCTGCCAAAGCACTTTCCACATTAAGCCTCAGTGCATTGATAGTACTTCAGTGCTGTCAAACGGCTCATTAACACTAAGATTCTTATCTAAATCTATTTCTTCTGCTGTGTGGAAATAGCTTCTGTCATTCATTCATCAGCCAGTTTTTCTTCACGTGCTACATTTTACACCATATGAAAGCTGTTAGCATAGTGAACTTACAGGTAGTCTAGATTTATGGCTTTTATTACTAACACTGTATTTCTGTCTACATGACATTGTGCAACCTTTTCTTTCTTCCCCTGTTCATCCTCTGTTATGTTGTCTCAGGCTACATATACAAACCAGTTAGTTTTGTCCTTGCTGTTTGAATACTGTGTACTCTATTAGATACTTTGGTTAAATTTTTGTTTATTTCAGTTTGGTCTTTTTTAGTTAAGCCTGCATGTGAACTGAGCTGTGGTGGAAATGTCTACTTTATTATTCCTCGTGTATGTGTATGACTTGAATGTTTGTGGTTCCTGTGTCAGGATTTAGAATTACAAATGAATGAAACCAACTCTGTTGTTTTCACTCCGTCACTTAACAGTTCAAGTTATAGTAGTTAAAGTAAAGTTATAAAGTTGTAGTAATCCTTTATTTACAAGCAGTTATGGATAATATTGTACAGTAATTTTCTAAACAATCCTAATTGCATTAGGTCATAACTCATATTTACTGTCCTGAGTAAATTGTCTTTGGAGAAGCATAATATGATTTATTAAATGTGTATTTTTGCTAATCAGTGGCAGGTAACTGGGGAAGAGGAACAAAGGCTGTCATTGTTTTTGATGTGTTGATTCTAGTGCAGCTGGAACAGGAACTGGTAATGAAGCTGCATAAATTACTAGCAAAGATGTAAGGCTACAGTCCACATTTAATTTAAACTGAATGAATAATGCATGCTTGTTGGCTGTTTTTTTTTTCTTTTTCTTTTGTCACTTGTAAGGTTGGAGAACAATCTTGGGGTTGAGATTCACTAAACGTTTGGTTTTAAAGTTGGTGAATTACATTTACCAGTTACATTCACTCACATGGAGGACAACATGAATGTAACTCTAAGTTCTACACATTTAATCTTTAGAGATGTGAGGTCATTGGAGTATGACATATTTGTCATAATCCTATATTAGTTGTGTAAATATGTACATTTTTTTTTATGTTTTTAGGGCTCCTAATGCTGAAGAGTGCCCGAAGGGGACATAGCCTGCAAAATCTACTTTTTTAGTCATTAAATGCATTTTGTTTTGTACTTTGAGTCTGTAGGAGTGCAAATTGAATTTAGTCTTATTTTGGGTCTTTTTTTTTTTTTACCTGTTCAGTTTTCTCTATTTTCTATGTCATTTTCTGTACTAATAGGTCGTGGGTATGAAGTGCCACATTTGGATTTAAAGAGACAGCATCAAAACGAGATGATCTGAGACACAACTCAGACAAGGGGTGAAAGAGAGGCTTGTGGAGTTACAAAAAGGAGGAATTCAGACCAAAACATTGCAGTTCCACTTTATATAGACCCCAACTGAATGATTTTGCACTCACGGGAGGGAGGGGGTGCTGCTTTGATGCAGTTTACTTGGCATCTGAAAATACATTCCCTCAAAGGTATTTTTTATCTGAAAAGAGCTTCAGTGAGTGAGAACTAATGTTGAGAGCTCAGCAGTTAGGTTTCACTTTCACCCGACAGCCTGCAGGAGTCATGCGCGGGGTGTGTGGGGTGGGGAGGTGCGCTCTGCCATGAGGAAGCTTGGCTTAAAGACACGTCCCAAAAGGCATTTCTGGTCCCCACCTCTTGTTTTGCAACTCAGCATGGCTGCCTAAAACTGCTGCAGGATTTCTCAAACATGCATGAATGAGTCAAAGCAAGGCTTTGGACATGTTTTTTTTTTTATCAGAGTATATAACATTATAACATGATATAAAACTCAAAAAAGTTGATTTTACATGGTATTGCCCCTTTAAATGTGAAAAATGATTTAAAAGCATATGTTTCCTTTTAACGATTTTAAATCACATTGCTGAAAATATATTTCCCATCTTTTGTCTCATTCTTACCGATACTCTTTTCATTCTTCTTTCTTCCCTATAGAAGAGCTGTGAATGTGATCTTTGGTCACATCTGACTAGTAGCAAAAATTTAAAGTGTGTTTATGCACAACTTGGGTTTTATCTGGCTGACAAATTTTACCTTGAACAGGTGCCAAAAGAATTTAAGCAATGTGAGTACGAGAGAAAGAAAACGAATAGCTTTGAGTATTTCAGTTAGCCTTTTATCTTGAGTAACACAATTGTTTCATTTTCTGTGGCTCTTTAAAAAGCATAAAACAGTATTCTACAACTTGTCAGTTTTCACACTGCTTCTCATAGACCTAAAGCAATGCATGCTTATTATGTATAATTTTGACAATCTAATGTAATACATTTGTTTGTTTTTCTCTACAGAACCTGGCAGAGGCAGAGTACTGTGTGGCTCTCTTCATGTACATGCGCCTGTTGGGCTACCCGTCTGAACGTATCAGCATCCTGACCACCTACAATGGTCAGAAACACCTGATCAGAGATGTCATCAACCAACGGTGTGCTGGAAATCCATACTTTGGACAACCTAACAAGGTAATAGAAATAGACCAAATTTAAACAGCTGTGCACAAAACGTAATAATGTAATAAGGAACAAAAGTACATAATTTAATCTTTGTGAATGAGGAGTGGATGATTCTATAATATATTGCTGACATATGTCCTAACAACTTTATGAAAATTGAACCCAGTCTTTTCAGGAATGTGACTGAAAAACTAAATCCAACCTGTGGGTAAAAGTAAAATCACTAAAATGTCATGTAGCTCCAGTGTCATTAGAGACTGTGTGCTGCGAGGCGTAGCAGTTTTATTGGTGTTGGTTTGGTTGCTTGAATGTTCTCCTGACATTTCCCATTACATTTTATAATGGTAATATTGTAATAAAAAGTGGTTCAGCAGGTTTGTAACACACTTCCTTATGTCAAACAATTTAACGATCCCAATTTTGAATTTTATTTGGAAGAAATCCACAGACCCGATGGGCATTTTTAAGCTTGATTTGTGTGTAGGATTCAGACTGTTTAGGTGGGAGCAAAAAATGTTTCTTCACACCCCCAGATGTCAGCTGAAGTTCAACCTCTAATCCTCTTTTGCACTGAGAAATTCACAGCTTTCAATTCTCTCAAGGCCTTGGTGTTTTGTTTCCCATGACTACAGATGTACATTTTTTGTCTAAGTTAGTCCAATTTAAATACACTACATTTATTTTTACTAATTATTTTACTGTTTATCTTTCTGTGTTACATACAATATTCCTTTGGGCAACAGAAAGTCTGCTTTAAAGGCAGACTTGATTTGTGGTTAAATGTACATTATTGTTTAAAAATGGCACAGTGGTCTAGCTTTATTACATCACAGGACTGTTGGAACAGCTACAGGTCATAAGACCAAATGAAGCACAAGTGGAAACCTTTCACCAGTGCTATATTGCAAGAAAAAAATGCTATGAATAGATGAATATTATACCAAGACTCTTAGTGTTTATATTTTGTGCTCTGCTGCCATACCTTCTTGTTTTGTCTTGAAGTATGTTCCCCCTTTGACAGGGAACCAGAAATTGTGCTTAGCCATCTAAAATGTCCTGCAATGTTAAGACAAAGCATCATTCAGTGTGCTCACATCCTTAGTCAGTGTGCATGCCCAGTGACAAAATGACAAGAGTGACAGACTGCTGGTTTTGCTGAAATGAAAGATGCCCAGTGAGGGAGAGTGATGGAGAAGAAGAAAGGGGGGCTCTTGTGGGAAAATGCTGAGCAGCTGAAAGGTCACACACTGAGCACTGGGTCCACTGTGTGTCTGACAATGTGTCACAATAGCCAGAACCAAGCAAATGTCAGCAGCCAGCTTACTTTACTCGGATGACTTTAATTAGACTCAAAAGGGAGGAGAGGAAAACCAGTTAGCACCAGTCGCAGTCTAAACAACACAGAGAAGCTTCTTACTGAATGTCTGAGCCTGCTGCTCAAAGTATGTGCTCAGTTTGATTTATTTTTATAGATCCTTTATGGATAGTTTTTATGATTTTTCACTTTTTGATGCTTCATTTTCAAACATTACAACTGTATTCAGACTAGAGAGCAGACAAACTGACAGACTATCTTTAGTTAGTCATAATACATAACGTGGATCAAAGACGGATCAATGAGAAGTGTTTTATTTAAGGTTTCAGTCTACATTTTCAGTACATCTATTTTTTACATGGCCACGACTATAACAGGAGCTTATTTAGTGACGTGACTGGAATCAACATATGTTGAGAGGATATGTTGATAAAAGTAGAAGGCATGGTCTGTCATTTGCTAGAATACAGTTTTTTCTTTCCTTTTTTTAACAGATATTGCATAAATGATGTGTAGATGTGAGCTCACAACCAGTAAAACATAATACTGATAATTATTTCATCTCTTTGCTTGTCTCATGAATAAATGATAAAGTCCAGATTTTYGGATTTCAACACAATCCTGGAAGTAATCACCATGAATAACAGGAGAAACAGAATAACAACCAGAGAAGAGCAAAACGTATGGGTGGCGGTTTGTCATTGTGTGCATGACAATAAAAAGGCAGGATGTAGAAAATGATGCCTGTAAAATAAATGAATGTGTGTGTTTTCTTGTGTCTATAGACTGTGTGTGTGTGTCACATTGACACGACCTCTGTAACTCTCTCCCTGGAAAATTCCTTATAAATAACTAAACACCATGCAAAAAGCTGCACCTTAGGGAGATTGTCGATATGGGCTTCTGTGACTAAGGGCCAAGAATAACTGCGTGTCAGAAGCCTCTTGTCTTTGTGTGTGTGTGTGTGTGTGTGTGTGTGTGTGTGTGTGTGTGTGTGTGTGTGTG